CCCTCCGCTCCCCACCCCCCTCCCCGCTCCCCACCCCCTTCCCAGCCTCCAGATAAGAATTGGATCTTGAGCTAGGGGTCAAAATAGCTATGGACCAGTGAGATCTAACTGACCGCTCATGGGTCCTGGCAGGAAGGAGTTGTTAAGAGGTCACTCATTACTCCCCGGGGCCCCCTTCAATGAGGGGAACCAGATGCTAGTTTCCAGGACTAGCCTCTTCTTCCCTCATCACCACCACAACCGGGGTCGGGTGGAGTGGGGAGGGGGGGGGGAGGAAAGTACTTTCTTATTCCCAGCCACAGGCACGCAAACCTTTACCTTCTCACCCCTCCACCTGTGTTCTCCTTTGGGTGAGTTCTAACCAGCTCATGTAGTTGTGAACATGATGCTATTGGCCAGTATGTGGAATCCTGAAGTAGGTTTGTGGGTGAATAGGCCGCTTGAAAAAGAGCTGAAGCAAGATCAGGGGACTGCCCAGCCTCCGACAGAGCAAATGTCTTTTACTGACAGCACCAGAGACCCTGGAGGGTGTGCAGCCAATGCCATAAAGTACGTGTTGCCATTGCAGAGGCTGCTACAATCTGCTGTGGAGGGGCCAGGTAGCTGCTTTTGTTACCTTCTGGTGTATTTCCTAGTGGCCAGCCCCTGCATGTTGCTGATTGATCTCTCAGGCGCTCTGCTCCACCCTTCTGAACTACCCCCAAGTTCCTTTCCAGGGACATCACTAGAACTTGAATATCAGAACCCTTTCAGAAGTGAGGAGTCTGTTGTCAAGGAAGATCTGGTGCTGATATCTTACTATATATGGCCAAGCTCCAAAGTCCTGCAATTAAAATTTGCCCCGCCAGCGTTTCTGCATACCTGTTCCTCTAGAGCAGCGGTTCTCAACCTGTGGGTCGCGACCCTTTGGGGTTCGAACGACCCTTTCACAGGGGTCGCCTAAGACCCCTCATCATATATATATATAACACATATATAATTACATATTGTAACACATATATAATTACATATTGTTTTTGTGATTAATCACTATGCTTTAATTATGTTCAATCTGTAACAATGAAAATACATCCTGCATATCAGATATTTACATTATGATTCATAACAGTAGCAAAATTACAGTTATGAAATAGCAACGAAAATAATTTTATGGTTGGGGGTCACCACGACATGAGGAACTGTATTAAAGGGTCGCGGCATTAGGAAGGTTGAGAACCACTGCTCTAAAGCCTTACAACCTGCCCCAAACCCTGGATCGGAGAGTTTGGGTTTTTCCAACACAAGCTGTCCTTTCTCCATTGTGTAGAGCTGTAAATAAAAGCCACTTTCGTTCACTACACCCTGGTGTCAGTGTAATTGGCTATCTGCAGCACACGGTGGACTACGTTACACTGGGAATCAAATCGTGACCTCCTGGCTCGTGGGTTTGTTATGCCCAGATTTCAGGATCCCCAAGAAACCAGCAGGGAGCCAGCAGTCCGATGTAAAAGCATAAGAGTCTTTATTCGAGCTAGCTCGGCTCCCCGACCTTGCCGACACAGCGACAGGAAGCAGAGAGAGGTGGCGTGGGAAACTCAGGGTTTTAATAGGGGGGTGGAGTGAGGGGAGTGGACTGACTGTGGGCCCTGCCGATTGGCCAGGCGCAAGTCAGGTCTTGTTACACAGGATGTGGTCATCTCTATGGCGCGCACGTCCCTTGATTGTCATTGGTTAGTTTAAAATCCCGGGCGTGGCCAGCAGAGGCCTGGGCTTCCAGGAAGAAGGTGCCTCTCTGAGCACATGGGGACACAGGGTAAGATGGAGGACACAGCCCTCGCCCCTTCAGGTTAATGCTCAACCACTGAGGGTCACTGATTTCAAACAAAATTTTCCATCACAGAAGAGCTTGAGCAAGTTCTATGTGTGTGGCCTCAAGAGATTTCCTGCTCAAGAACCGTGAGTCCCTGAGGCCTTAATGGATTAACATGCCACGTCCAATGGCAATGTCAGGCAGAAGCTAGGACCAGATAGTCAAGATCTCCCCGTGAGGTTCCCAATGTAGAGGGTGACCTTGAAATCAGAAGGTCACTTGTTAGGCTAAACCTCCTCTAACTTTGTGAAAGCTCTGCAGCAGGTCTTCTGATGCTGTTGTTTCTGTCTTGGCTTGTGCAGACACATGAGGGACACATGCCAGGCGGTCCAGAGGTTGGCCCAGAACACTTGGGGTATTGTTCATCCCCGAACATTCCAGGAACCTGATATTTCAGACCCTGTAAGGACCTACTTGCTGGGCTACAATGAGATACGTAAAATACATAGTTAACTCCATTGGAAAGTGCCTCGTCTTAGCCTTTACCCTTCACCCATGGCCAATACACCCAGAAATGGTGCCCTTGGGAACTGCTCAGTCATATTAGCAGTAGGAAACTGTTCATAACCTGCTCCTGCCTCCTAGATACTCGACAACTGCATCTAGAGCAGTGATGGCGAACCTATGACACGCGTGTAAGAGGTGACACACAAACTCATTTTTTTGGTTGATTTTTCTTTGTTAAATGGCATTTAATTATATAAAATAAATATCAAAAATATAAGTCTTTGTTTTACTATGGTTGCAAATAACAAAAAATTTCTATATGTGACACGGCACCAGAGTTAAGTTAGGGTTTTTCAAAATGCTGACACGCCGAGCTCAAAAGGTTCACCATCACTGATCTAGAGTATGTTGCCCCCATACTGTCCCACTTTTTATCCATTGGCCACCAGAGTTGGGGTGCTGTTTTAGGAAAGATTAACCACATCTATGGCCAAAATACCACAGTCTTTGAGCCTGTTTCCTCATTAGTAAGGTGGAGATGCCTGTTGTTCACTTCATTGAGACTTAGAGTAGGTGAAAATGCCCTGAGCATCATATATAGCAGTGATTTTCAACCTTTTTCATTTCATTACTAAAATTATGCGGCACACCCCAAAATATTATTTTTTTAATCCGACAAAAATAAGTATAATTATGATTCATTCACACTGGACGGCTGTTGGCTATCATTGTGTTAGCTGTTGTTATTTCTCTATTTGACAACCTAAGGGGAAAGAGGTAGTGTCCCTGACTAAATAGTCAAGTATTGCATGTTTTAAAAATTCTTGAGACACATCGGTTGAAAATTGCTAACCTATATAGTATAATCCTATCTAATAATAGAGAAACATGGTAATTAGCCATACCTCCACTACCCTTCCCATTGGCTAATCAGGGCGATATGCAAATTAACTGCCAGCCAAGATGGCGGCCGGCAGCCAGGCAGCTTGAAGCTAACAGGA